TCTTGTATATGCTATGCCAGGTTTCCACCACTAAGCAGCACATCTCCAGCCCAAGGTAAAGCTTCAGATGGGCACGCCCACCTTAATTCTCATCTCTGTTGGTAACAAATACTAACTTTTTCTCCTTAAAAAAAGTCTGGGGTGGGGCGGGGGAGGAAGGGAGGGAGAGGGAGCTGGGATTGACATGTGAAGCAAGCTCGTTTCTGAAATAAAAAAGAAAAGTCTCTAGAGTTAAGGAATGAGGACTGTGAGGAACCCCCATCCCCCCCGGTACTCATTCCCAACCTATGCTCAGGCTTCTGTGGGAGCCACAGGTCACGCATGGACGGGGCAAAATAGACTGTGAGGTCCCACAGCTGGTGGGATTGATGTGTAAAAGCCGCAGGGCTGGGTCTTAGGGATGGACTGAACTGGGTCTACATCCCAGCTTCCAGTCTAGGAGGGTTCTGGCAAACCATTCACTGTCCTGAACCAATATGCAAAACAGGACGCAAAAGCTACTTTCAGAGTGCTCACTTAGTGTTAACTGTGGAGTCTTAGGCAACGAACTGGCAGTTCAGCCACGTCTGCTGGCCCACCGGCTCCTACCTGCCAAGTGTAAATGTACAATGCGCCCTCCTGCTTTATCTCACTTTTCTTGTCTTGGGAGAGAGAACTGTCACGTGTTACTAGCTGTACTTGTAGTGGTTTGACTGAAGTTAGTCTGGCCTACTCTATTGCCCCTGTAGCACCTGCTGGAAGTTGCTCACCCAGACACCCACAGTCACACTCTCCTGTTTTTGATTTCCAACTCCTCCAGGGCCGTCTGTTCTCTCTCTAAGCTGGACGGGATAGATTCCTTCCTCTCTCAACAGCTCTACCACTTTACCCCAGCAGCAGCGGAGAGCAGGGACCTGGGAAGGAATTGACAATTCCATGTCCTTAACCACACGGTCCCTCTTGCTGGATACATAGATATCACTGGGGGTGCAATAGGAGAATGGGGCTGGGAGGGATTAAGCGCATTTGTATGCTTGCGTGTGTTCTATGCAAAGTCACTTCCCGCCATGGGGCCCCTGATGGTCTAGCGCATGATATCTGGCCTTTTTTGTGTACATGGGTGTATGTGAATTCATTTACGAGTGCCACAGCACACATCTGAAGGTCAGAAGGACAACATCACTTTCTACCTTGTCTGAGACTGGGATTCTATTGGCTCCACCTCCAATCTCCCTGTAGGGGCTGTTGAGATTCTAACTGGTCTGCTAATCATCTGTTTTTGTTTTTTAGAAGTGGTTTCTGGGAATTCAAACTCCAGTCGTAGCACTTATATAACAAGCACTTTTACCCACTGAGCCATCTCCCCAGTCCAATACCTGGCTTTGTGATTTCCGTGATTTTCTTTTCTGTCATCCTTCCTTCCTTCTTTCCTTTTTTCCTTCCTTCCATCTTTTTTCCTCTCTTTCTCCCTCCTTTTCTCCTCCCTCACCTCACCTCTCTGTCTCTGTCTGTCTGTCTGTCTGTCTGTCTGTTTCTCTCTCTCTCTCTCTCTCTCTCTCTCTCTCTCTCTCTCTCTCTCTCTCTCTCTCTCTCTCTCTCTCTCTCTCTCAAGACAGTGTTTCTCTCTGTGTAGCCCTGGCTGTCCTGGGACCCACTCTGTAGACTAGACTGGCCTCAAACTCACAGAGAACCACCTGCCTCTGTCTCCCAAGTGCTGAGATTAAAGGTATCTGCAGCTACTAGAAACCTTTTCCCTCTCTGACTTCAGGCTACTTTCATGACCACTCTTTCTGCCATGCAACAAGTCTTTAACACATCTAAAGGTTTAAAACCGAGTTATAGGACAGGCTTGAATTCCACAGCCGTTTCCCCTGATCTTGCTTTGTGTCTCCCCACATACTCACTTGCTTATTGCTGTTGTCTCTTGCTAAGATGCAAGTTCACAGGGGCAGCAGCCAAGAACAGTGCCTGGGATGTGGCAGAGTTCTGCAAACACGTGCCAAACACGCGCCAGTTATCCTGTGCACAGACATCTCTCCGAAAGAACCAGCTGAATGTAATTCATTCTTTCCTTCGTATGGTAGAAAGTAGATTTGAAAGAGCTGCTGAGCTAGTGTACCACAGCACGATTTTATTCCCATCACAAGAATGGTATTAACTTGTCTCCGGAGGACGATTTTTAATGGCGCAGTTGTTTACTTTTGTAATTTTATGAGACAACACTGCTGCCTACAGCTCTAAGGAGATAGTCACTTTTTCTTTCCTTTTTTTTTAAACAAGTTCAATGATAAAGTCTAGGAAAATTCCAATTGAAAATTAAGATATTGAAGAGTTTACTCTCACAAAGAGTCTTGGTGAGCACAGGGTTACATCTTTAGGTAGTGATATATTATTATAAAAACAGTTTTGTTTTGTAAAAAAAAAGATTCATATTTTTCCCCTTCAGTTGGTATGAAACAATGCTATTTGTAGTGTTTCCAGATTTTAGAGAAAGAAAAAAAAACCTTTAGTAAAAAACTTAGCAAGACAGAACTCTTGATATTATAATCCCCTGGCTATAGATTCCTGATGGGACTTCACACCCAAAAGGAAATTACAGAAGAAGTATGGCCTATAAGACCTCCCAGCTGGTTGCTAGACAATTACTTCCCACAGTTACATCTGTTTACAAAGAAACAACTTTAGTCTTAGGAAGTTTGTGGCTGTTACTGGGTCTTACTTTACATTGTGAAGCAGAGTCTGGAAAAGATTTACACAAGGAATTCCCAATTCTGTTACAATATGGAATCCAAGGGACCAACTAATCAAGGCAACTGGAACCACACAAACAGTATTTTGTTTTATAGGGTCTCTGTGTAGGACAGTACTTGATCTGGAAATCTTCTTGCCCCCAGATGTAGTATTAACAGTCATGAGATTTACAGTGCACTAGACAAATGATACTATTTCATTGATGGATAGTAAAGCTAAGAAAAGGGGCCTGCAAAACACACACACACACACACACATACACACACACACACACACACACACACACACACGCATGCACACACGCACGCACGCACGCACACAAAATGTCATGCATGGCACTGCAGAGAAAGTGAAGCTAGACGTTATTGCCAGTTGTTCTCTCTCTCAGGAAGGTCGTGTTTCCCACAGAGGGTGCCTTTTCCAGTTTTCATTTTACTATTAAAGTGTCTGATCTTTTAAGAAGCTTTGGTTATGAGAGCAAAGTAGTTAGCTTGGCTGTTGTTGTTTTTAAGTCCTGACGGGCTGAGGGTGTAGCGCAGAATATCACAGTTGACAGGTTCATGAGAGACCCTGGGTTCAGTCCCTAGGACAGAGTTCAAGGCTAGCCTGGTCTATAGACAAGACCCTGTTTCGAAGAACGGAAAGAGAAAACACAGCATGGCGTGGTGGTGTGAGTCTATGACCCAAGTACTTCACAGGACTCTGAGAAATCCTGATAACTACCTCAGTTGCTAAAGAGAAAAAGGTATGTTTTGAAACTTCAATGGTCCGTGAGTCTAAAAGTCTGCAACTGACAGCCTTTTAATAAAAAAAATAATCTTGGCAGGCTGGGCAGTGGTGGTGCACACCTTTCATCCCAGAAGTAGGGAGGCAGAGGCAGGCGGATCTCTGAGTTTGAGGCCAGTCTAGTCTATAGAGAGAGTTCCAGGACAGTCAGGGCTACACAGAGAAACCCTGTCTCTAAGATAAATAAATAAGTAAATATAAATAAATATTTTGGCTATTCAGAAGGAATAGCGTAATGGTCAAAGTTCCATTTCCTGCCTCAAGCCACCATTCTGCTTCTTCAGTGAGGCAGTCTGCTCTCTTTACTCCACAGCACTAGAAGAGCTCTTGCCAGTCACGGGGGCACAAGACCCGACACAGGCTCTGCACATGGGGATCTCAGCACAGCGCAAGTGAGATTGGGGTGAACTTTACTTCACCTACCTTCCAAGAGCTGAGATTCTGAAACATCTCTGTGCAACCCTCTTTTAGGCACAGTCAGGCTCAGGAAGAATTTACTGGATCAATGAAGACAATGTGATCTCACTTAACAACCCCCCCCCCCCCATTCACTTAGTTATCAAGTACACACCAAGTACATACTAGGTATCAGGAATATCATGTTATTGTGAAGACCTACAATTAAAGGGACAGAAAATCAGTAATCTCCCACCGCCTTACTTAGGCTAGGGAAGAAACATTAAGCTTAGAGGGTGGTGGCTTTCTGCTTTGAAATCAGCTCTGGCGTAGAGTTCCACTTCCTGAACACACGGGTCTTCAGGTGAGAACACAGACAGTCTTTACCATATCCATCACACACCTCCCTTTTTTTTTCCTAGATTACATTTGTATTTATTTTGGTACTGTGGAACACACAGATGCTACAGAGCAACCTAGGGGTCAGAGGTCAACTTGGGGGAACTGATTCTCACTCAAGTGGGATTGATCTGTAACACCTACTTTCCCTTAAGAGTTCATTACATTAACCCTAAAAAAATTCTACAAGAACATTTATCAGGAGCCTAGCAGGTATCACGGAGTGTGCTAGAAGGACACAGAGATACAGACACAAGCATGCTATATGGTACATGCTCCCACATACATGTGAGTACATACAGATGCACACACACCCCCACACAGCCCAAGAAAACAGGAAAGTGGATTTAAAATACTAATAGAAAACAGTCTGGAAGCTAAAAATTCAAGTACTCTAACAAAGTTGAGTCGTTTTAAATTCTTCTTATCAGGGACTCGGGAGAAGACTGCCTGCAGAAAAGATGACAGATGGCAAGTAATTGTAACTAGGGAGAAATGAAATACGTCAGTTTCGCTACACGTGAGGGCTGCCACACCTCTCCTTTTGACCTGCCTTGCATTCTTACATAACCGGTCCTCTGCGCACAGACTCAGGTGTTTGTGCCACCGAGGAGGACACGAAGCTGTGAGGGAAGGCGGATACCCCCGTCCCACAGCGTTATCTAACCCAGAAAAAGCGAATCAACTACCTTGAGCATGCGAATTTCTCGAAGGGCGATTTTCTTTATGACAGGGTCATCTTCAGTTTCCAGAAACCTCTTGATGGCCACGATCTGCCCCGTGTCTCTGTTTCTGCACTTGAACACCACCCCGTAGGAGCCTTCTCCAATCTTGCCAATTTTTTCGTATTTCTCCATCTCGGAGGAGTAAGTCTTCTTTGGAATGGACTTTCATATAGGTTTTAAACGTTGCTTATGAACTACGTGGGCGGCGGACCTCACTGGAGCCCCATCAAGCAGGAGCTGTGGTCCAGGATCTAGAGAAAACAAGGGCGCTAGTTATAGAATTAGGATCAACCAGGTGTGGACTCCACCCCCAGCAATGACATCACATCGCGGGCAAGGCTGGGAGCCTCCAGGTAGCTGCCGGGTGACCCAATTTCAATCGTCTGTTTCATTCCCTCGAGCTAAAAGATGCAGCCATCGTCCTAAAACGAGCCGAGCTGTAAGATAATCTATCTTTTTAACGTTGTGGTTCATGCGATCTAAGACACTTGAGCTGGCTGGAGCACCGCGAAGGCGAAGGGCTTTCCCGGTTCCAATTTCGGGTCTCATTTCCCTCCGGAAGAAGACACCGGGCGGGCAAGCGGGGCGACTGGGGGCCGCAGGAACCTCCCGCCCCTTCTCCCGGCGCCTCTCGGCCCAGCTCGTGCCCTGCCGCCTGAAGCCCTGCTGGGTCGCCGCCGCGATCCCCATGGGAACAGAACCGGCTGGGCGGGACCGCCCTCGGCCCTGCTGTCCCCGCAGCCACCTGGCAGGGTCCCAGATCCCGCTCTGCAGGTCCGCAGGATTCAGATCGTGGAAGGCAAAGCGTGGGGCGTCTGCGGGTGCACCCGGGCCCTCCTAGCAGCCCGCTCCTGCTACGGTGGCCAGGTCCATACCTTACATCGGCCACTCCTTGGTGTCTTGCCCGTGAACACCTGGCGGGGTCCTGCCCGGGGCTGCGGCTGCAGAAAATGAGTGAGAGAGAGGCAGTCGAGGGAGGCAGGTTGGCCTTCCCGCCCATGCAGTGTGGCCTTGGCGCGGGGCAGAGCCTGCCTTGATTTCCCCAGTCACCTCCTTATTGAACCTGTTAGAACACAGCGGCAGCGGCAGTGGATGGATGCGGTAGCCTCAACACTTTGTCAGCCCTTTCATCCCTTTTGCTAGGCGTCAAGGCGCGTGTGCCCTGGTGTCAGCACTTCAGCAGAGAAAATGTCTGCGAAACCCGGGCCAGCCCTGGCCAAGGAACGCTGCAAATCTGCACAGAGCTCAGCAAGAAGCTGGGTCTGGGCACACAGGGCGTGGCGACCGCCTGGCAAAGGCAGTACTGTGGTATAATGAGGTCCGGGGATGGGCTAGTGGTGGTCTGGGACGCCCACAGAAGTCGAGGGCAAATGCCAATCCCAGTTCTTGAATTTTGTCTTCTTGATAGCTTTGCCTTTCCCAGAGTATCACATAATTGGGGGTATACACTGCACAGCTTTTGAGGGTAAGCGTTTCATTTCACGGAATGCCTCTGAGACTCACATCTTGAATTTATCATCAGTGTCTTCCTTTTTCATGGCCGGGTAGCCTTCTGTTGTATGAATGTGCCGGTGTTTGTTTATTCATGCCTGGTTGAAGAATATCTAAATTGTTTCCAGTTTCGGGTGATTATACATGAGGCCACTATAGATGTCATGCATAGCCCTTTCGGCGACGCATGTTTTCATTTCTCTTGGGGAATCACTTAGGAGAGAAAACTTTTGCTTGCACATCAAGGTTACCTTTTGTAAGTAATCTCCGAAACGTTTTCATCTCGGGCTGTTCCATTTACCTTCCCACTAGCAGCGTTCCCATGGCGCCCCTTTGACTTTAGCCATCGAGAATGACTTATAATGGTTTTAATATGAATCAGACTCTTATTTGCCCTCTGGGTGTGTTCTCACATCAAGGTTCTGAGAGACTTCCGTAAGTTCTTTGGAATTTTTGTATAGACCACGAAATAGGGACAATATTAGTTTTCCTTAATCTGTTTGATTGTTTCTCTTTTCACTGGGTGAGTTCATCAGTGTGATGCTGAGAATAGCAAGACCACACCCTTTGTATTGTTGCTGAAAGCAATCTTAGACCAGGAAGCACGATACTGGCTATCTTTTAATTTATTATTATTATTATTTAGCTTGCTGTAGGCAGCCTCTAAGAGGGCCCTTAATGACCCTGCCTCTTGACAGTTGTGTCCATCCTTATGAACTCTCCTCCCCCGGAGCAGGCCTTCTTAAGTTTTACCCACTCTGCCCACTTTTTACAAGAGATTTTTTTTTTTAGCCTGGCCTAGGTTTACAGGTGTAGAAAAGAAGTTTACAAATTAGATGTTTTCTGAAATTTATTTTAAATTTAAATTATTCTTTGAGAATCAGGTATGGTGGCATGTTCTTGTAAACCCAACACTTGGGAGCTAAAGTCAGGAGGATCAGGAGTTTAAAGTCATCTTCCTAGGTGACACGGGCAGTTCAAGCCAGCCCAAGGCTACATGAGATCCTGTCTCAAAAATCCCCACCCCCTACATGCCACACCACACTACACCACACCACACTACACACACCACACACCACACCATACCACACCATACCACACACACCACACTACACCACACCACACACATCACACCACACCACACCACACCACACTACACACACCACACCATACCACACCATACCACACACACCACACTACACCACACCACACACACACACCACACCACACACACCACACACACACACCACACACACCACACACCACACCATACCACACCACACTAGACCACACCACACACACACCACACACACCACACACACCACACACCACACACACCACACTACACCACACCACACACACACCACACCACACACACACACCACACACCACACTACACTACACCACACACCACACCACACACAACACACACACACACCACACCACACTACACACACACACATACACTACACCACACACACACACCACACCACACCACACTACACCACACACACACACACCACAACACACACACACCACACCACACCACACCACACACCACACACACCACACACACACACACCACACCACACCACACTACACCACACACACCACACCACACACACACACCACACACACCACACACACACACCACACCACACCACACCACACTACACCACACACACACACACACCACAACACACACACACACACCACACCACACCACACTACACCACACACACCACACACCACACCACACACACACACACCACACACACACACCACAACACACCACACTACACCACACACACCACACACCACACCACACACACACACACACCACACCACACACACACACCACACCACACACACCACACACACACACACCACCACCACACTACACCACACACACACACACACCACACCACACTACACCACAGGACACCACACACACCACACCATACCACACACACACACACACACACACACACACACACCCCGATTCTTTGGTGTCTATATAATTTTATAATTTATTTAGGACAAAATGGTCATGCTTGTTTATTTTCACATAAAGAACATTTAATGCTGCAAGAGTATCTTCAACACTTTTTTTCAGAGTTGACTAATACCTGGATTTTACTAGACTCAGCACCGAGACAGTGTTCTGTGTAGCTGTGTGCTATAGGACAGCAGAAGTATGTTAGGGCCATTTCAAAAATTATTGGAAAATTTGTTTAAATCCCAAGCTAAAATTCATTTAATAGCATTTTTAAAAAAATGAAACTCAGGTCAGTAATTCAAACAGTGATTTAAAAAAAATTCTAAGAATGCAAGTTGGTGAGATATTAATTGGCTACTTAAAGGCCGAAGAACTACAGCAAAGTATTCAGAGTTTTTTTTTTTCCCCAAAATTAAACTGTTAAATCCTTACAGAAAAGCGCTGTGCTTATAACATGCCGGAGTCCTCAATGAGTGCAGGTGTTTCGGGCGGTGTTGGTTCCTGCTGAGCAGAGCGAAGGTGCTCACCATGCATGCACACTGAGTGTAAAACAAAGACTGCAGTGAAACGTCACCATCCCCAGAGTTGAGCACTCTCAGAGACACCTGGATCTGTTGTTGCTTTGGAATTAGCCTTTGGTGGTCAGGCGTTCAGAAATCTCTCGTTATTCCCAATCTTTCTCTTGACACTCCCGCAACCCAGTTTAGTTACACAACCCACCACCCGAGAAACCATGTGTGTCTACACTAGAGACTTAATTTTGAGAACTCAAACATGATAGAGTGATGGAATGCCACTTAGGAGATTATGACTTCCACCTTGGGTGCTCTCACTCACCTGCTCTGAAGAAAGCTGGGTGATATGCTGTGAGTGAGCCATGGAAAGGAACTGACAGGCCAGGAGGCAGAGAAGAGCCGAGGGCCCTACAATGATCATTCTTGAGAAAGTAAACCCTACCAGCAACCCGGTGAGTGAGCTGGAAGGTATCTTCAAGCCACCACTGACAACTTCAGTTCAACCCATGAAACCTCGAGCCAGAGGATCTGAGGATCCACCTGAGCCACAGCGGGATACCTTGACCTAAAACCTGTGTGATAAATGTGCCTTGTGTTCTGGATGGTTTGTTGAGTGTAAATAGAACTAACATTTTATGATGTTGAGTTCTCTTTAGTTTCTCTTTCCTTAGATGACTTTTTTGTTTTTAAATCACAAATGAGCACTGAATTTATCAAATTGTCTCCGTCTAGCCCTTTTTCCATGTTCATGTGTGTGTGGTATGTGTATGCATGTTTGTGTGTGCAGGTACATGTGTGTGAATGCATGTGGAGGCCTGAGGCTGAAGTCAGGAATCATCTTCCATAGTTCTTTGACCTCATTCTTCGAAGCAGGATCCATCAGTTAAACCAGGAACTCAGCCACATGGCTAGTCTCCCTAGCCTGCTTGCTCCACCTTCCAAGGCTGGGATTACAGGGCGGCTGCCAAGATCACCTAGCATTTATGTGGTTTCTGGGGATCCTAACTTGGGTCCTTATGCTTCCTGGCAAGCACTTTAACCACTCAACTATCTTCCACCCCCATCTTTGAGATGACGATATGATTCTTCTTTATTAAGTCTGTTGACATAATGCATTATATTGATTTGGAAAATGCTGAACCAACCTTTCAGTCCTGAGGTAAAACCACCTCACTGATGCTCTGCCATTCTGATATATTGCTTGCCTAGAGCAGTAATATTTAATTTTTGTTGATATATATTTTTTAAAATATTTACTCATTTTTATTTAATGTGTTAGTGTTTTACCTGCATGTATGTATATGCACCGCATGCTTGCTTGGTCCCCAAGGAGGTCAGAAGAGGGCATCGGATCCCCTGGAACTGGGGATACGGATGTTGGTGAGCATCAGGTGGGTGCTGGGACTGGAGCTTGGGTTCTCTGCAAGAGCAACAAGTGCTTTTAACTGCCAAGCCGACTCTGTAGCCCCACTGGCAGACATTTCTTGTTTTGAGATATATTGATCTGTAGTTTTCTGTGTCTAGAGAAGCTGATTCACAAATGATTTGGAAAACGTTTCCTGCTCCTATTATATAATCAAGAGATATTTACTTTTGATCAATACTATGAATTCCTTAAGTGTGTGGTAAAATTTGGCAGTAACTTCACACAGGCCAGGGGTTTTCCATGTTGAAATAGTTGTAACTATAAGTTCTATTTCTTTAAGGAATTAGAAGACTATTGAGGATATCTATTTCTTTCTGAGAGAGCTCTGTTTGCTTCTTTTGTTTGCTGACTTTGACTACTCCACCTAAATGAATGAATTTATTTGTCTTTATTACATTACACTGTTGTCTGTTAGATTTATAGTGATGCTTTCTTCCTGGTTTCTTTTGTTTGTAGGGGTCTGGGCCTCACTGTGGTGCCTAGACTAACCTTGAAATTTATGATCCTCCTGCCTCAGTTTTCAGAAAGCTAAGATTTTACGGGCTTGTGCCATCATGCCAGGGTATGTTTCATTCTTGATATTGGTGACTGTTTTCTTTGTTCAGGTTGGTTTATTGATTTTATTGGTCTGTTAAAACAACTATCTATCCCACTCTGTTGATTTCCTTATTGCTTTCTGTATTTTAATTATTGATTTTATCTCTAATTTCTTCTATTTTTCACTTTGTTTTTAGCTATTTTTTAAAAGATGGCAGCTTAGATCATTAATTTTAGATATTTTTATTTAAATATGACTTCAATGCCACTTCCAAACCATTAC